TGTGCACGAGTATTCGTGCACAAATATTCGTGCRCAAATAGCTGATGAGTTTGGATGCGCGCGCGCGCGCAGTGACACAGCAGCTGCGCACCTTGTCGGCTGCACGAAATCAGACGAAGGCGATGAAGCTTTTGCAGCGTCCGCAGTCTGYGTCCGCGCATCCGCACCTGCCATCTGCACATAAAGAGGGCATTTCATCTGAAAAATATAAATATATCTATGACTGATATTAAAGTGCAGTGTGTGCACGCGGCGGAAATCTGGTGCGTTTAGCACGTGTGTTGAACAATCGCAGGTTGTGTGTTGGTGGTCCAGGAGCTTGCAGTTCTGAGGCTGCAGGTTCGAGTCCACRTTGCGTCATGAAGGACATCCGGTGGAACATGATGCAGGCACACATAACATTTCATATTTAAATTATAGACAATACAATGGAAGGCATATTGGAACTTTGAGCCATAAATACTTTTCTGAAGCTTTTTACCACCCAGGAACTGAATTATTTACTTTCTGTCGTCTCATTTATTTTTATCCAGTGAACAATTTCTGGACCTCTCTCAGAATATCCACAGGAAGAACCTGTCTGCTGTAAATGCCTTCTTGGAGCAGGAAATATATCCTGAATTTACAAAGTCAGTAAATAGAACAGAGTTATAAATGCTGTCATGTTTTGAATGTGGTTTGTGAAACATGTGATCTGTGCCTGTGTTTGCTTGGTGTTTAAATCAGAATCATTTTTTGTTCCGTCCAATTTTACATATATTCTTCAGAAACATTCACAATCTGGAAGGTTTAATATTCCCTTCCAGCCAGGAGAAAGAAATTGGATTTTTTTTCTCCCAACAGAAGCAGCTGAGATTTGAGCTTTTTTTTCTTGGTTCTTTGGCTGAGACTCATTCTTTCTAGGACATYACTCATGAGGTGCAGAATGGTGAAGACGTGTGCACTGATAATGAAATTCTTTTTCTTTATGATTGTTAAAATGAACTGTTGTGGACATGAATGCAATGCTGACCATTAAAACAGACTGTTGCAAAGAATTGGTGGGTCCTTCAATCTAATTACAGTATGATGTGCACTTAGTCAAAACAAGTGAAATAATTTSAATTCATTCTTCTCTCACCAAATGTYTCTGGATGRAAAAAAAAAMMWTWWAWTTTTTTTGACTAAAAAGGGGGAGACTGTTATTTTCCTCTCTGTAGCTTTATCATCTGTTGTATTGGAATTTCATCAGTTTGTGTCGGTACAGTAGTTTGCACTGATTGATCAAGGCAATAAATTTATGCACATGAGCCACTCATGCTGGTGCTAATGGCCCGTGGATATGGAGGCATTATGCAAATGCACCCTCTCCACCAGGAAAAGAGTGTGGCTAAATGAGTGAGGGAGAGAAACGGGTGATTTTCAGTCCATTCTGGTTGTGTTAGTCTCCCATATTTACCTCTATGAGGACTTGTTTGCCATGCCATTAGGTTCAGGATAAATCACAAGGCGTTTGAGCTGCAGAYTGTGTTTTGAATAGTTTTCAGGAATAAAAAAAGAGGTGGTGTTCTAAAGTTACAGGAACCTATCAGAACACCTTGGAAGGCTTAGTTTGTGTTGATAACTTGATAAAGTTCTGCTGTGTGCAAGAGCAAAAGCATCTTTTATTTTGTTTTATTTCTCATTATTGTTATCTTTTTCTTCTCTAAAATGCCAAAAACCTTATCATGATGTAGCTGAGTGAAAAGGCTTGAAGGATTTGGATGGTAGGGATGTTTATTATCATTCTGTTCCTCCTCTGTTTACTCTTCCTCCCCTTTCCCTCTGTTTAACTGTCTGACAGTGGGCTGCAGGATCCTGCAGAGTGGGTGGTGGAGCTCTAATTCAATTTATTCTGCWGCTCAGAGACAGAGAGTTGGGGAGATAGCAAGAGGGGAAAAAGGATGGAGGCCACAGATGTTAGCAAACATTTCCTATTAGCAGTGAAGAGGGAGGCCACGAGAAGTTCTTCTGACGCTGTGGCATCTGGGCCGCCTCTGTGATGGACTTAGATCATATGCATGAGGAGGAGGAGGGTGTGGGGTCATCATGSAGGGCGACAAGATTTTAAGAACATCATCAGAGGGTCTGGAGGTTGACACAATCAGACTGAAAAACAATAAGCATATTAAACAAAATGAATACGTTCTAAGCTCAAATCTTTCATTGAAGTGTTATAAAACATGTTTTACAGGGTTACAGATGTGACTCATCACATCAAACTCAGGATTAAGTCAAAACTTGTCCAAATGACTTAAAATCATTTTCAGATTCCTGCTTTGAAGAGTGGTTCAGAGATGTGGCATGATTTGTCCTCAACAAGACAACCCACTGATATTTGATCTGAATTCTAAGTTTAGGTTATTCTAATGAGAAATTAAATGTTTGATGACATTTCAAAGAAGAAACTTCAGAACAATAATTGAATATTAAGATTTATCAGCTGGAAATAAATACTTTTTTCTTTCTTGCAGGAAAAATGACAAAAATGTAAGGCTTTCCTGCTGAAAATCATGTTTATTTGTTGTTTTGCTGCTGCTCAAAGAAGAGCTTCAAAAACTTCATTAGGATTATATTTAATTTAAATGATCCATCAATATGCTGTTCTAGTCATTTTTACAAAGTGCAATTGTTATACATTTTAATAAATGCACTATAGCTACCTGTTTCTCCACAACTTATTTCTCAGTTTGATGTGACGGCTCACACGTTTTAAATCTATTCCACACTGAATCATTTTATTAAAGAGGACCTTTATGCAAAATTATGTTTTTTACATGTTTCTATGCTCCAATTTGGGTCTGTACAGCTTCCAGAAACAGTCCAAGCATCARATAAATACTCCCAGTTTTTCTTGACAAGTTGAAAGTTGAAAGCTTCTTCAATGAAAACTTATAGAATATCAAAAACTTCTGAAAATCGGTCTCATTTAAACAGTTACTGAAATAARTGTGTTGCTGAATTACGCAAAGCCAAACAACAATATTTTAAAAATCAAATTATTTCA